TATCTTCTCTTTGAACAAGATAGAAATTTAGGAGTAACATGGCCTTACAAACCCAACAGTGAGATCTTAAGAGATCCACAGCCTACAGCTCTTCAATGGGGTGTCACAGGGTGCCCAGGAAAAAACATTGTAAATGTAAAATAATAAAATAAATATTCTTCTGTAGCAATAACAAAGTATAACATAAATTATTCTGTAGCAATTACACAAGACTATCCAGTAATGTCCCTGCCTACAATTAAACACATTCACTTACCGAAAATCATCTGCTGTGGCAAATGGGTGCAAGCCTTTTACCACAATTTTAGTCACTGCTCGGTGACATTCGTCTATCCTGGCCTGAAAGGAGACGCTACGGTAGACTGCAGCGAGAACTGCCAGCATCTGAGCCAGACTCTGTCTCTCATCATGGTCATCTAAATGCACAGCAATGGCAGGTTTTGTAATAAGTAATAATAATCGCGCTAACATAATATGCACCGTTAGTTGATTATTTACCTGCCACATTGACGGGAGAGGACGTGCAAACGTTACCGCTGCTGCTGGGTTGAGATTCACGAGTCCGGAGCGGAATTAAAAACACGACATTCATTAAGGTTATCGCGTGTTTTGTGAGCAAATGCTTTTGCATATTCGTAGTGTTTCCTCCTATTTCTAAATTAAATATCTACTTTGCAAGTATTGCAAGTTGCCCTGTTGTCATCCGTTCTCGTAAAGTATAACCAAACTTTTGAGCGTTTGAGCCGCTTAGGCGCGTGTTTCCTGCCAGGTAAAATGACGCTCCGTAACGTGGTGACGTCATTTGGGGCGACTGGAATCGATAAGGGAATCGTTTGCAAAAATGGCAAACAAGCACTGAGACTTTCAGTCAGTGCTTGCTCAGCTCTTTGTCCACTGATCGTGGACAGAATTTGTATGTGGAGTAGTGTTGGCAGCGTTAATGTCGTTAAAATTATGTTAACGCCATAACTGCATTAATGCGGCAATGCGGCTTGGGGCTGCAAGGTGTCAACACATTAGTGCGGTTAGCTTGTTAACGGAGATTTGCTGCGTTGATGCAGTTATGACATTAACGTCATTTTAACAAGATTAACGCTGACAGCACTAATGTGGAGCAAAAGTGTAGGGGCAGCACACTTCAGTGGCCTCAGGATCAGTTCTTTGATTCTGGTGGATGATGAGGTCCTCCTGGCTTCATCAAGTAATGACCTATGACTCCTGCAGAGATAAGAATTAGCACCTCTGAGTCACAACTTTGAGGGTGCGTTAACCAGCAAGTTCTGGGAAAATGACATGTACTGTAATCTTGCTCTTTACATGATAGACATGAGGCTAAAAGCCATGCAATTTGGGGGAAATGAATGAAACTGTGTCCCATTTCAGGGGAAGAACCCTCAAGAGTCCAAGATGGACCCTAACATAACTTTAGGTTGCACCTTTCCCATCAAAGTTACAGAACAAGGCAAAGTAGGTGTGTTTCAGAAATGTAGAGGGAAGTAAATATTATAATATTTACTTCCCTCTACACACTCCAACATCAATTATATTTTTTCTTTAAAGTGACTTTTTTTTAAACTACAGATGCTGAAGAGGTGTCTTCATAATTAAGATGAGGAGTGAAGCTTTATTTAAGTGTCTGAAGCTGCATGTAGGACGCTTCCCGCTTGCTCCGTTTCAAGGTCGACTTTCACAGTGTTTCCAGCTGTGCCCTCAACAGCTGGATGAGCGCCCTGCACAGGTAGGCCTAACTGAAGTGAAATCCCTGTGCAAAAATAAACTCCAACAAACTAGTCCATCTGCTGGAAAGCTGTGAAGCCTCTCAGGTGCAGCACTAATTTTTATCCTTTGTGACACTTGTGTGAGAGTCGTCCTCATCGGTTGTAATGATGTCGTCTGAACCCAGCGCTCCTCGTTTTAGATGGAAGCTGGGAGAGGTTACTGCCTTATGTAATGAAATGACATTTATTTGTATACTTCCTTTTTATTTAAAAGAACCCTCAACCTTCCAAGTCTCCAGCTCAAAAGCCAAAAAGTTGATCATCAGGATTTAAACACCACAAATGTGAGCTTATTACTATAATTTATAACAGTGCGACAACACTTTTACACCTCCCGCCATCCTGCTACATCATCTAAACTTACAAAAATATGACAAACCAACGTTCAAAGTGATGCGCATCACACTGACTCGACCAACACTCGAACAACACATTTAGCAGGAATCACAAGTGATGGTGACATAAGCTGTACACACCCAACAGACATGTCTGTAGTAAAAAAAAAACAAAAACAAGCTTATTGGTTCAAAGATGTGCAGAATAAAACCAATAAAATGCAAATAATCTGTAGCACTTCTAAAGTTTCCTTGCATTGAAATTTGAAAGGAAGTTGAATAATCTTCCTCACAGAAAACTCATCATAAACCATCATCAGCCCTGAAGCTGCTGGATCAGGACTTTCAGCTTCACCTGGAGAAACACTCCAGCCATCATTTACAGAATGTATTTTTGATCTGAATTCAGACATGAGAAAAGTGTCACCAGCTTTATTATTGCTGTTTATCATTATCATTATTGCTGCTTTCTGATTTTAAATCTATGAACGTGTCAGCGTGACGTCATGATTGTTTCCTGGTCTGGCTGTTTGGGCCTCTTTGGCATCATAACGATCTCTCATAGATTTCTTTTCACACATATTACTTCTGTAGTGTTCTGCTCTGTTTTTACTCCTCCCCATTTAAGTCAGCTTTCTTATGATTGGTTGGTTGAGATGTGTCCTGATGCATGCTCAATCATCCAGGTAGAAAAACCCATGAAGTTGATTCTGTGGATCTGGACGTAGTGTTTTCAGACTGAAGAAATCACTTGGATGAGTGATGAAACATTTCTCCCACTGAAAATGCCCGGACTCAGCTTGTGTGTGTTTAAAGTCTGAACCTTTGGCTCACAGGGAGTATGTGTATATGTAGCATTTGCCACTGTAATATACATAAGACAGAAAACCAAAATTATAATAATACGTACAAAGATTTACATTAAAGATATATATAGAGATATATAGCTCCAGAAGCAGCTTCAACAGATCGCAGAGCAGATTTGTTTTTCGAAACAAATCACAGGAAATTAATTTTGAATTGTGTGAAACCTGATCCCTGTTTTGTTTGGGGAACCAGACAAGGTCTTCCTGTTGTTTTAGCTGCACTGTGTGTCGTCCTGTGTTCTTGCAGATGATTGGAAATGATCTTCTGCTCTGCATGATCACGCTGATGTTTGCATAGAGAAGATAATGAAACAGGGCTCTAGAGTGCGACAAATTTTGTCGCAAATGTGACCAAATTTTTTCAATGGTGCAACAAAAAAAAAATCCTAGGTCTCACCGGTGCGACCAACTTTTCGAGTAAAAAAAAAAAATTAAATAAAATTCTCCGCAACTCTGAAAGTCTCCCTGTGGTCAACAACTGACACACATTATGCCCCTATCGTGGTCTAAACCAATCAGAGATAGCCAGGGGCGGGACATCTAGATCCAGATATTCCCGTAATACTTCGTGTGTACATTTGAAAGTGCAGGTGGCTAGAGAGAGGTGAGTAGCTTGAATAAAGCGATATCGATTCATTAAATCCTGAATCGACTTTTGAATATAAAAGTATTTTGCCAGAAATGCCAGAATATCAGGTTAAAGATCACAAAACTATTTCAACAACCACCAAACAGCAAATGAGAGCAGGTAAACAGATTCCACGCAAAGAAGTAAACATAGAGCAGACCCGACGCATCAGAATCAGCTTTCTGAAAAAGCACAGCGTATCAAGAAAACACATTATATGCTGCAATAAATGCACTGCCCAAGTTCCCCTCTCCTCACTGCCTTTCAGCGGCAGGCAGCAGCAAACAGGTCATCCAAAGCACTTTAAGCACAAGCAGTTTATCATTAACTCGTCTTTCTTGTAGAACTGTGCTCTGACTAAAGAACTCTGTGTTGACAAGATTGTTAGTTAAACATTTACAAGTTAATATTGTCTGTATGGCAATTTTCCCCCCAAAAAAGTGCACACGTAAAACTGTGGCTTTAAGCGATGCAGTTGAAAAATTTGGGTGCGCCTAAGACAAGGTGCCACCAGTGCAATCGTGGCAAAAAAAATTAGTCTAAAGCCCTGTGAAGTTTATTATTGCTGCACGCGGTGAAACAGTGCATTAGTGATTATGAAACTCTTCCCACGCTGTGATCACGGGTGTCTTCAGCACAGCTGTGTTCACGATGTGTATGACGACGTGAGTACGAGAAGCTTTTCTTCCAGTGTCTGGATATGAATGCTTTCCTCAACGTGGGCTAGTTTATGTTGTCGCAGGCCTTTGGCAAACGTGAATGACGTCCCACACTGGTCACAGACGTGCTTTTTAGTCCTGTGGAGGAGTTCGTGGCGTTTTAATGCACTCGGTGTGGGAAAGCCTCTGCCACATTCTTTGCAGTAGTTCAGTTTGTGCCCAGTGTGCATACGCTGGTGTCTCTGTAGGGTTCTTTGGCTGCTGAAGGATTTTCCACACTGGTCACACTGGTACGGTTTAACGATGGTGTAGTGCTGACAGGGCTCAGCGCTGGGTCCACCGTCACTGCTCTGTGTGTGAGACAAAGACTGCGTAAGTCTGGGAATTAATAAAGATCACTTCTGCCAAAAGACACCCACTGATATTTGTTGAGTGTTTTTATGTGACGGATAGATGTACTTGGACATGTCACCAGAACCAATACTTATGATGCCATTGGATCCCAAAATTCTGAAAATGTGATGGTATTGTTTCTGGATGTTCAGAACTGAAGGGGGCAGTATAGCGCTACAAGTGTTCTTCTGTCCTACATGCCAAAGAAAAAAAGGAAAAAGGAAGTCCACAACCACAGGAAAAACTACAAATAGCACAAAAAAACTACATGTGGAAAATGGTGACTAGTGCTGCTGCCTTAAACTCTCTTTCAAATCAGAGTCAACTGTGAAAGTTTGTTTCCAAGGGTGACAAGGGGATGATAATCAATTCAGAAAATATAATATACAAATTGGAGATGGC